AATTTTACATATTTGTGGCTAAAACAAAAGTCAAACTTAGTAGTTTTTGGGTAATTTCATCAGTAATGAATGTGGAGAAATGAAGCCATAATGTAACTTTAAGCTCTTTATGTTGGAGGCCCACGTGATCATGTGATCACTAGTATTGGTCGATTTGCTTCACCTTTGCTCTGGTATTCTGGTTTTCCTCAATTTTTTCTCGCCTACCAACATTGAAATTTATATTGTTTGCTTAATAATTGAACTCYAAGTTTTCTTAGGGATTTAGTTGTTATTGTTTTTTGACAGTTGCGGTGATTTTATTTGTTTTTCGGATCCAGATATAGCGCTTCTGGTCGTGGCACCATTTACTTATAGTTGTAGCTCGAGTGGTATTCATCTCACCGGCGCTCGCTTGTGTTTATCCAGAACCGAAGTTAAATTATAAAACTATATTCATAAATCGTTTATTTAAAATTCTATTTGTTAAGTAATTATAATTTGATTCATCATTATTTCTTTCTGTATTCGTCTGCACAATCAATCTTCGAGTTGTGTTGCCATTGGCGGCTTGATTCTCTATTAACATTTCTTAGATGCTACCTACTAAAATGTATGACATGCATCCATATTGACAAAGTAATTAATTAGTCTGTAATTAAAGCTCAAAAGGACATACACGAATATATTATATTGCTTGTCAAATACTCCATTTTCGAGATCTTATTACAGGGTCCGTGCAGGTCCTTAAATCCTTGAAAAGTGCTTCAATTGAAAACTTGTTGAAAAAAATAAACACTGCCTGACGTCTTGACAGTACGGAATGAGCGCAGCGAGGTCGGTACAGTGTTTTCCTATACGGATAGACAGTTAAATAACATTTTTATTTTCATTTTTGTATTTTTTGCATCTTTGCTCGCAACCTAGCAGCAGGAAACTGTGGAGCGGGCAGATCGTGAAAAACCGGACCGCGCGCTAGCCAATAACAACACACGTTCTTTTTTTGGACAATTTTAGTAACATTTATTCAGAATAAATAACTTAATTACCTTTTCTACAGGGCAGATTGTTTACTCTGTAGTAATAACGGAGCTCCTGGTTGGCTTCAATTGCTTTCTTTGAAAATATGCATAACTTCACGTCGCCATTGCTTGTACTATAAACTTATTTTATTTGACAATTTGCATATTTATGGCCGCTGTCGTTCATTAGCCTCCCCAGGCCATCACCATAAGTTGCATCTATACTGCTCACTCATTCAAAATAAGGCATTTGTTAATATCAAAGAGGTAGATAAAAAAATTTGGTTTGCATCGAAGCCAAATTGTTAAGATTGATATTAGAATATTTGAGGTGAAAATAATCAGAAACTACCTGCAAATAGTTTCTTTAGATTGGATTCATATTCACAATAATTGAATAAATTCTTAATTAAAATTGTTTCTTTCTCTTATCACAGGTCATATGTTTAGAATGTCACAAGGAAATGATCTACATCTGATAAATGAGTATGTTAAAACACTACAAGGAGTAATCCTAAACGTTATACTCACCACATTCTCCTTCTCAGAATAGAAAAATAAGGAGCTTCCAGTTCCTGGAACTGCCTCGTATACTTTTTCTCTTTCCAGGGCTTCTTCATATGTGATCTTTTCCCCTGTATACTCTGTAATAAAGTTACCCTCGGGAATAGCTTTTTTTGCAAATACACCTCGACCTGTATTGGATAAACAAATTAATAATTGATTTTTGACTGTCTTTTAGAGAAAATTAAAAAAAACAACCTGTAAAATAGGTAGTCTCTGCTTGCAATTTTTTTATATGCGTGTTGACAATTACCGTTTAATTGACAAATTCCTTTTCGTGGTATTAGTAAATTCATTAAATCCATGAAATGACCAAGAAACCAATGGAATTAGAATGTAATAAATCATAAATAAATGTAAATAATAAATGGATTTGGAATTGGTTTGGATTAATACCTATAATATCATTATTTATCTTTTCTACTTGCAGGTCACATTCTGTTGTATGTTGGTTTTCATATGGATGAACATTTTGAACCTAAATATAAATATAAATATGTGCATTTTTCAGCATCAATATTGAATGTAACAAGAATTGAATACGTCGCCAATTCACACTTCATTTGTTTTCATTTTTTTTCCTTCATTCCTTTGCACTTTCCATTGTCAAGGTATTTATTATTTGTTACCTACCTGCAAGTTGCTTCTTGTTCTTCTCATGCTACGGTCAAAAGAGAGAATGATTAGCTAAGCTGGTATCAAAGCAGGTTGCTCTGATTTTTAGTCTTAGGGTGCCTAATTGCTTGAGTGAAGTAAAACCCATGAAACAAAACTTGAAAAAAACAAATAATAAGGTGTTCAGTTTAATTTCTATTTCATTTTTTTTTTTTTTTTTGTTTTTTACATCACTTTATGCACAAGTTTTGTTTCGCGGGATAAGATTCGACATTTTAACCCATCTGTGAAATAGGAGTTGTACTATTAAATTATACTATTACCCCCTATTAGTTCGGAATAGTTTAACTTATGACATGCGACATACTAATTAGCAAACAAAAAGTTTTGATTAATTTGCTTAATACACCCTGCTTATAGTTACTATTAAACTCTGACTACAGTAAAAACCCACGTATAAGAACAAGTGGATTAAGAACACCCAAGCCTGATTTTAGGAAATAAAGTACCATGTATATAAGGGTAGAGCTTATTTCGCGAGAACCAGGACGACATCCGAAAATGACGTCACCATTGTATTTCCGACGAAGCTTCCTGACGATTAGCGCAGCTGCGATGGACGTAAACAATATGGCGTCTGCACCAACAACACAGGTTTACACGTTCGGGGCACATGACAATATTTTCCAGGTAGGCAGAGAATTCCTCGAAGAAGACATTAGGAGTTACGGGATGGGCTTCAGAGTAAGGTGGTCGGTATATACCGATGATTTTTAATGGTCGACTCAAGTTCGTAATGTTCCATTCACTATATYCAAAAGATCGTGTCTCTCCAGAATCAAGACGGGAAGACTGAAGATTATCTCTGTGCAATAGTCCGATGCCACCTGCAATGCGCTGCGAAAGTCGAGGAGAATTATGAAATAAATATCCTGGTGGTGATAGTGAAGAAATACTAACAGAATCTTCATGTTTAAGCCATGTCTCAGTGAGGACACAAAGGTCGATTTTATTGCCCAGCACATGATCAATAATGAGACYAGTTTTCTTTCTCGCAGATCGTACATTAGCAAGAGCAAAACATAGTGGTTTTGGAGATTGAAATAAGCCCTGACATTTCCTCACATATAATAAGTTAGCCGTAGCGTTATTCGATGTATTGTTCTTGTTGTTGATGTTGTTCTTCTCCACCGAAGAAATTAGCATGCAAGAATCGAGCAAGTTGGACAGATTTGCATGTTGACGTTTCTTTAAGCTCTGAAGGGAGTTGCAGGTTAATCGCACTGGTATGTTTAAGACTGATTTTTTGCGAATTTGTACCTTAATTCCAGCACGGCAGCCACGTTTAGCTCTTGACAATCCTAGTTCTTTGATGTTTGAGAACGTTTCATGAGATAAACGCAGTGTTAAGTTGTGTTGAGAGATGTTGAGTCTAATTTGCTTTAAGTAACCTTGAGGGTCGTGGAAAGACCATTCAAGTGCAGAGACGGCGTACGTTGGATTCTTGAATATACTGTTGACAGACACACTATCTATCTATTTTTATTTTTTCAAATAAAAAATTATCTAAACCACCCACCTTCAACATAAACTCAAAACCAATAGATCAAGTAGACAATTATACTTATTTAGGAGTAAAGATAACCGCGACTGGTAACTTTTCTCCACATTTAAAACAGATACGTGACAAAGCTTTACATGCCTTTTTTAAAATATCAAGAAAAATCAACTTAAGACGACTTAAACCAGTTGTCGCGTGTAAACGTTTGGACACCTTTATTTCCTCTATCTTAACTTATTAAATTAACATTGAAATTTTTTAATCATTTGATAAGTCTTCCTGATGATTGTATCGCAAAACAATGCCTTATATTATCCGATACTTTATCAAACACAAATAAAAACTGTTATACCTCTAATCTTAAAGTGCACATGACACCTGTGTTGTTAGGATGGTTGAGGATKGAGACCGATGGAGACGGATTGTTGTGTGACTGTTTTATTCCGCCATCTTGGCTAAACCATGAGGTACACAGGTAACCCGAACATAAATATATGCATACGATAACATTACATCTCCCTTCAAAGCTGGGAAGCTAATAGAACTTGAACATGCATAAAGTAATAAACTATAAAAGTTTTTGTTAAATGTTCAATGTCCAATATGTACTTAATAAACACATAACAATGACTTGTGTCTAAATAAATAAAGTTCACTGGAATCTATCAGGTTTCTTGATGATACGTCCATATCTTGTCCTAATTGGTAGATTTGGTTCAGTGGGTTTTGCTATTTTCTTGGTTGATTCAGTGTTTTGAGTTTGAATAGGGAATGGTGTGACCACTTCACTTGTTGGCGTAGTTTTTGGCAATTTGTTGAGTTGAATCCTGTTTCGTCTAAGTGTGCCACTGGGAGTATCTACTATGTAAGATCTATCGTGCACCTGGTTACGTACTGTGCCATCTTCTTGTCTATCTTTAATCCATACCTTCTCTCCTTCCTTTAGAATAGGAAGTGGTTTAGCTGCATGTCTAAGGTTGAAATCAAATTGTTGTTTCACTCTMGTTGACTCTTCTCTCCTCATTAGTGTTTGCACATCTGGTAATGTGGCTTCCAAAGTCTTTGGTATGACTGGAACCTTGGTTCGTAGTTTTCTAGACATCAAGAGTTCGGCAGGACTATAGCCGTTAGCTAATGGGGTACTTCTGTAACTAAGCAATGCATTATAAGGATCGTCAGATGCATAGAGTTATTCCTTTACGGTGCGTACAGCACGCTCAACCTCTCCATTTCCTGACGAGTGCTTCAGACTGCTCGTAACCTGCTTGAACCCATAGTTACGAGCAAATGCTTCGAATTCCGATGACACAAAGTTAGTTCCATTGTCAGATATAAGGATTTCAGGTACACCATGTCTTGAAAAAATTGATTTCATGTGTTTGATTACACACTTACTTGTGATTCTRTCTAGTCGAGCGAGTTCAATATATCTTGAATAGTAGTCTATCACGACTAAATATTGTTCTTTCTTGAATTCCATTAGATCAGCTGCGACCTTTTGCCATGGTCGTGCTGGCATAGCTGTTGGGATTAGAGGTTCCGGATGATTTTTCCTGTTCTTACTGCATACAGAACAGTTGTCAATAAGCTCCTTTATGTTACTACTTATTCCTGGCCACCATACCGAATGTATTGCTCTTCGTCTGCATTTGGTTATCCCTTGGTGACCATCATGAATGTGGCTGAGTATATCTTGGCGGAGAGTTGGTGGTATGACAATTCTGATACCGTTGAGAAGCATTCCACCTTCGACAGTTAGTGTAGATCTGTGAGGCCAGTATAATTTGAGAATTCCTTTGAGCTTATCTTGATCTGGCCAACCATCTTTCACATATTTGATGACTGTCTGGCATACATCATCTTCTTGCTGGTGTTGGCGTATTTGTTCCAATCTTGTGTCGGTAGCTGGTATTGATTGAATAACCGAAATCACAAATTTTTCAACTTCGTTTGAAAGTGTGTAGTCATCCTCTTGAGGCTCATCAATCGGTGATCTAGACAGTGTGTCTGCAGTGTATAGTAGCTTTCCTGGTACATAAAGTATACTGTAGTTGAAGCGCATTAATCTCATCTTCATTCTTTGTAATCGAGGTGTTAGTTCATCAAGTGTTTTTCCTGTTCCGAGGAGTGGAATCAATGGCTTATGATCAGTTTCTAATGTGAATTTGAGTCCGATCAGATAGTTCTGGAATCTACTGCATGCCCATGTACTTGCTAGTGCCTCCTTTTCAATTTGTGCATAACCTCTTTCAGCTTTTGTGAGAGTACGAGAGGCATAGACTACTGGATACCAGTGACCATCAGATTGCTGCTGAGTTAGCACAGCCCCAAGGCCATATGAAGAACTGTCTGCTGTGACTTTTGTAGGTAGATTAGGGTCGTACAATGATAATATTGGGCTTGAANAAAATTAATAGAGAACAATGAGAATAAATAAATAGTTTTGAACACAAGTAACGCAGGCTCAAGTTTACAGGAAAGTGAGTGAGTGAGTGAGTGAGTGAGTGACAGATTCGTCCCCCTCCAATAACTCTTCGATTGCTTCGCAATCTTCGAGTTAAAAATGAACAATATAGCCGTGAAGCACTAAATAGTGTAAAATAGGGCAAGTTGAACGGTAAAAAACAATAGTATTTGCATAAAGTACTTAAATTTAGAAAACTATGTTTCACAGTTATATTGATTGTACTCTGTACTCTAAACAAACAACCATCACTGGAGTGGAGGAGTCGGGGTGGGTGGGGGGGCACGGGTCCCCTCCACAAAATATTTGGGGGAGCTGGACCCCTCCGCAACACATAACGTCACCGGTTTTGAACATAAAACAAGTGTATATACATTTTCGAAAGTTGATGTGATGTTATCACTATAAGTCTATGATTGTCCCAACACAAGTCAATTTTGGCTCCGCTGCCCCTGCTTAAGCTATATCCAAAGTATTTTTGCATGATTGTGTATGTTTACAAGTAAGGTCATGCTGTCCTCGTCAATTTTGGAAGAGTTTTCGCCTTTGATTTCAAAAACATTGCTATCTTTGCACTCAAATGGCCAGAGTGAGAAGCCATTTTGGCTCTCGTTTGAAATGCTTTATGATTTACAACATAGAAACATTACAAAATTTCAAGATACTTACACAACGTTAAATCCAAGCGATCTTTTAACTTCATTCTATTTGAAGTCTAAATAACTGGATGGCAAACTACACAAGTAGCTTGTAGCACTCGCTTTCCAGGACTGTCTTTTTTGTTTTACAAAAGATTCCCACTTTTTAAAATAGATCGGGTTTACGGGAAAATTATGAATACTTATTCTCTCACTTGGAGTTGAGTTACAGCCATAAGCAACACACTTCTTGGGCATTTTGTTGTTTTGTTTATGTCAGTGAAACAAATTTGAAGTTACATCTCAAAACACGTGAAAATCGACGAAGGACTCCCGTGACGTCACATAATGACGTCATATGTTTTGATTGAGCGGCAAAAATTCGAACAAAAATATCCAACTTTGAAGGGAAAATAAAACATTTACGGATTGGAAAACAACAAATTTAATTTCAGAACTAGTTCACACCATATACTATTCAAACGGACTAATTTTGAAAATTGGTCAAGGCCATGGAGGTTGCCCTTTAACATCGATTTTTATGCTCTTTCGCGAATGAAATGCCCATCAAGTGCGTTGTTGGTGGCTGCAGTAACAGGCCAGATATTTTAAAGGGAATCGACCTTCAAGTTATGACGACCCGACGACCCGAAGCAAGAAAAAGACGGAAGAAGTGGCTCAACTTTGTCAAAATCAAGCGTGCTAAGTGCACAAGACGAATGAACCATACCGCTATATATTTATTGAGAAATTTTATTAGTAATAGGGCTGGAATCTCAGCAAATTCTTTTGGCCTCGGCACAAAATGCGCAAAACAACCATTAGTCATTTGAGGCAAAGTTCTCTATGCCCGGCAGTCTAAACTTCTCGTAGTCGAGAAAATGAAATAAGTACGATAAGGCAAACACATGACTGAAAATATTCTTCCTTTCAAGCGCTTTTCTAATTTCATGAAATGAAACGACTACGAATCCAGAAATGAACACTGTTTCGTTCTTGAAACATATTAAGCGCTTTCCAAGCGATCCAGAAGCAAAGCGTAGAGTTTTAGTTGTTTTCAGTTCAAAATTATGAGTGCCGGGCATCGTATTTCCCCAATTTTGAAACCGCCAATCAAGCTCAGTGCTTGACATTTCTCTGCAAAGGAAGAATATTTTCATGTCTGTAATCATGGTTGTTTTATATTTCATTATCTCGAGAAATTTAGACTGCCGTGTATGTACATAGTCTTTGGCAAGGTAAAAATTCCGAAGTGCCTCAAATGACTATTTCCTATTCTGTGCCGAGGACAAGGAATTTGCTGAAATTCAAATCTACTGAGTTCACGGCAAGCGCTAGACAATTCTCAGTGAATATAAAATGGTTTGATACATTCAATCTTAGCGGTTTTATTGATTTTTGTGAGAAAAATAGACTTTTATAAGGCATTTAGTATTTTGCGACCGAACTCATGGCCTGGGATGACGTCACAAGAGTCGCGCCAGTCCCCGCTCGTACAAAAGAATTTGACGCACTTAATTTTGGCTTTTATTTGTTCCGATTTCGTCCCAACCGTTTACAAAATAATCACCTAATGTTCACAGAAAGTCTTACCAGGTTCATAAAAATTGTTTTCGATATTAAAAAAAAAATCGTGAAGGTGCACTTTAACCAACTTAAGGTGGTTCATAGTGGTTGGCACTTCAGCGCACCTAATGCTTTTAAACGGCCGTTTGACCAACTTAATGTAACTCGATTTTCCTAAAATAAACATGCAATGTCGTACTTAGTTGGAAAATTTTTAACAAAAGTTTTGATTTTTGATTTACTGCAAAAATAGCAGTTTTTTCGTAGAAAGAAACAATTCAAAGATAGCTGTTTTCCGGCCAATTTCGATGACGCCTAGAAAAACTAAGGTACTGCGTTTAACTGTAGGATATTGCTAGAATATATCCAAATCACGGAAATTCTTTTAGACGATTTTGAGAAAAACGATTAAACGTTTACATGTATGTGTAAATCGAGTTACATCAAGTTGGTCAAACGGCCATTTAAAAATGTTAGGTGCGCCGGAGTGACAACCACTATGAAACACCTTAAACCATATTAAAGACCACATACAGACTATAGATTTATTTAAAAAAGTATTATGAAGACAAATGCATGTTTTAGCCGTTATTTACAAAACAATCGTGGTCAATGTTAGGCTTTTAGCGATGTGTATTTCTTCGTTTTACGCTGTACTCTTCGAATGCCTTTGACACCGCTTTACTAAATCCATATCGGCTCCTGAGCTCTGTGTTATTGTTATGAGTTTCCATATAACTCAAGTAATCTTGTGTACATCATGCCAGTGAATCGAAACGAAGCAAATTACGAAATAAACTTCACAGGAGGCTAAAATGCCCCGGTGTGCTTAATTAGAAATAATAGAATTTCTAGATAACTCTCAATACTATGGTATCCCATGAAGGTATGTCGTGGGACGGGAGGATAAATAATATGATATTAAGCAGTTTCAGGCGAAAATTAGAGACAGAGGATAAAGTTGATAGAGAATAATATTTTGAACAAAATGAAAAATTCTTTCACTTGTAAAAAAAAAAATATAGAAGGGTTGCGTTAAAATATAATTGCGGAAATATCAATAGTCAGTATTTGGAGTCCAAGAGCGATCGTTTAATTGTAGTATAATAGAAATTTCAATCCACTTATTAAACTTGCTAGAAGTGTACGAAGTGTACGTTTTACAGCATTTATTAGCGTAAATGCTTGACGGAAACGTCCCTTTGACCACTGTAGAATTCAAGTTTATTAACGGAGCTCAAATTTGTTAAATACTGCTTTGACGAGCTTACATGCTTTTCTCTTTCATAAAATAACAAACTGGTTTCCACATGACGTAAATCTACGGAAACGCTGAATGGTACGTTTACGGCGTCAATTGCAGTAAAAGCTTGACGGAAACGTAACTTTGACTAAGTATTTGGTCAAAGTTATTTGCGTAAATCTGACTGACATTTGACAATTCGGCAAATTTACGGCAAAATGTTCGGTTGCGGAAGTTCGTTTTTTCGCCTTAGGAATAGGTTTCTTTAACTTGAACCAAGTTAAAGAAACAGAGAAACAGAGTTTCTATGCTTCACAATAATTAAAAAATCAAAACACTATATTTACAACTCTGAAAAAGAGAGAGAGAGAGAAAAAAGAAAGAAATTAACTAATTAATAAACATGGCAAAATTAGCCAAAATGCTCTTGGAAATGATAAGTTTTAAGTCTGGTTTTAAAGTTAGTGCTTTGAAGGCGATCACTAAGGTCTTAAAGTGAATCCGAGACATAACTGGCAACCAATGTAATCTACACATAACTGGCGTAATATGGTCGAACTTACCAGAACCTGTAACAAGCCTGGCCGCAATGTTCTGGACTCTTTGCAGCTTATCAATTTCAGAGTCAGGAAGACCTAGTAGCAAGCTATTGCATGAATCCAGCTTTGAGGTAATGAACGTATGGACTAGACGTTCAGTTTTGTTCTGATCAAGATATTTCCTTATTCTACCTACCTATTCCTGATTGAGTGCATAGCTGATTTACACAGATTGTTCACGTGCTCAGTCATTTTCAAATGGCTGTCAACAGTAACACGAAGGAGTAGAAGCAATGCAGCAGCCGTTCAGGTTGACTTCAGAGATGGGATCCAGGTGACTGGAAAACCGAGATGACAAGTGCACAATCTCAGTCTTGTCAGGATTGCAAGAGAGGCCGTTACTCGTACACCAGATAAATATATCTCTCACACATAGCTCGAGACAAGCCAGGGCAGAAGTACGATCTTCAGTAGAACCAATGGACAAATACAACTCTGTGTCATCAGCATAGGTCATAACACTAAGTCCATGAGCCAGTATAGCATCCTCAAGAGGAGCAAAGAACAAAGAGAATAGCAGCGGGCCAAGCACGGATCCTTGAGGGACACCGAACTGGAGGTTTTTCTTCTGAGATGGGCTATCTTTTATAGCCACTTGTTGGGATCTTCCTATGAGGTAGGATCTAAACCATTTGAGAGCAGTTCCAGAGATGCCATAGCGACACTGCAAGCGTGAAATTAGAGCCTCATGATCAATGGTGTCAAATGCTGTGCAAACTGGAACCACAACTTTGACACGCAATAAAACAGCTTAGTCCAGTTAAATTAGATCCCAACATGCAACTAATTGCAACAGAAGCTTTTTCTTCATAGAATTGTTCTAGATGACCTCAAGAATGATGTCAAAACAATCGGCAAAATTCTGAGTGTGCAAACAGTGTTAAAATTGCATGTTTTTATTTCACTCGAATGCTTTAGCATGAAAACGAGGCTATAACCGGAAGTAGCTTTATTTTTGTATAAAAACGGTAGATTAAATACTAATTTACTTTTAGTTTCAACTTCTTATACAATAACACTACAGATGCAAATATGGAAATATGCAAATATGGACTTCAAACAGAATAATTATATTTTCTTGTGACTCGATAACAATAGCTCTACTGATCGGTTGCAACAAGGTAAGATAAAGTTATCTATATAATTTTGGGGAAATACTTCTTAAGGCATATCTACTTTTCTTCATAAAGTTATCTATTGGACAAGAATTTTTATCCACTGGATAAGGATCTGCTGAATAGCGCTATCCTTCCTTTCTATACAACCGATTCCAGCATAACAAGCAACAATATACTTTTTAATTTGAAATAAGATAAATGATTACAATTGTTAAAAGGATGCCATGTTCAATTTAAAAGTATTCGTTATCATCTGCCTCGGGCTCTTCTATACAGTACTTGGTGCAACTGGTACCTCTGCAATGGCCACATGCGGGTGAGCACTCTAGACCGTTCTTTCGACAGCTGCAGCGGCGGGTACTGCAGTCTGTTGCACAATTACATCTCATGATGCGAATTAAGTTCTCTGGTGCGGCGGGCTTGTCTGTCATAATAGGAGTCAGCCTTTCATCCTTTAATTTCCACCCTAATTCCAATACTTCAGACAAGTCACAGTGGTATCCCTTCCACTGCTTTACCTGTAAATACACCCCCAAAGAGTGCAAATTGGCCGCTGGTGGTGTAGGGGGTAAGGTCTGTGGTTGGACGTGCGGTTTTCTGCTTGTTAGCTTTTCGATATGCCGTGATAGTTGTGGGCCATCGTAGATATGACCTAAATACTTGACCTTAYTTTGAAAAAACGAGCATTTGGATAACATCAGTTTTAATCCAAACTCTTGAAGTCGAGAAAAKACAGCCCCGAGACGTTCAAGGTGTTCTTCAAAGGGTCTTGCAAAAACTATGATGTCATCAATATAAACGATACGTTTGCTAAAGTTGAGGTCCCCCATGCAATGCTCCATGAGTCTGAAGGTGGCGGGTGCATTGGTTAACCCAAAGGCCATACGGTTACATTCATAGAAGCCAAGTGGGCCTACCGTAAAAGCAGTCTTCTTCTTGTCCTCCTCAGCTATCTCGAGCTGCCAATATCCACTCTTTAAATCTAGGGCACTGAACCAACACGATCCAGACATTGCTTCTAAAGCTTCATCAATCCGGGGTAAAGCGTATGCGTCTTTAATCATGCGTGAGTTCAACTTGCGGAAATCAATGCAAAARCGTAAAGAACCATCTCGTTTTCTTACCAGGACCACAGGTGACGAAAAAAGGGCTATGGGATTCTCGTATAACTCCAGCATCAAGCATATCCTTTAAGTGATCGCGCACCTCTTGATACTGWGCGGGTGGAATGCGTCGGTGTCTTTGCTTGAATGAGGTGTTATCGTAGAGCGGTATTTCATGTTTTACTGTCGTGCAGCAACCCAAGTCGTTTGGTCCTTTGGAAAATATATTTCGCTCCCATTCTTGAAAGAATTGTTCTGCAATTTTCTTTTGTTCCGGACTCATTGGAGAAATGAGGAGCAAATGCTCCTCATTGTTGTCATGATTTTCGTCTCCGACAGCATCACAAATTTCAACAAGCTTGGGTGCACACACAACTGTACCACGAGAAATTTCAAGTTCATCATTAGAGGGATTATGAATCTTGACAGGAACACGAGCGTTACTTCCATCCCACTCTATACTTACCAAAGTAGGTACGATCTGTAAGTTTTCAGGTAGRTCTGAACCTTGCTTCTCTAGAAGAACTGGAAACGTTGTGCCCTTTTTACCTGTTTTAACTGAAGTCCAGATAACTGATGTCTCGTTAGCATGAACCACGAGGGTTTCTGTAGAACTTGTTGTCAGCCTGCATTTCTTCATGAATTTACTTRCCTGTTTATGTTGCTGGTTTAAAAACTTATGCGCCATTCTCCAAGCTAGGTCTAGTTTGACGGTTTGAAGAAATTGATTTCCATGTAAACCTGTACAAATGTCCCTGCAACGGCCCATAACATTCGTTCCAATGACCAAAGGTACTTGTTTTTTGAAACTAGTATTTGGCACCACCAAAACATTTGCAATCACGGAATTTGTCACACCACTTGTCTGGTCAGGGGATGAAATATCTGCCTCTATGTAAACTAAGAAAGTAACATCTTGACCCCCAGCACCTTGAATTTTCAGATCAATCTGGCTTAAAGGTTTGACTTCAGAGTTAGTTAAGTRTTCTTCAAGAAACATTTGAATCACAACCAGGCGACTCCCCCATATCAAAATCTTGAATGTCCCCAAATAATTCTGCTGTATGGCAAGAGGACACCGGGCCTTCAGCATCCTCAAGAGTTCTCCGGAAAAGAGCAGGGTGACACCCCCGAACGTCAACTAAATCACTTCCAACCGGGAATGGTGGAGGCATGGGGATTTCAGGCAGATTTGAGCTCACACCTGTGGTTGGAGTGTTCCCAAAAGTTACAATGAAAGCAGCACATGGGCTGCTTTCGATATGATGCATAAGCAATATAGGGGTCAACAAAGACCTTATGTGGAATATGCTTTGATAAATTTATGAAAACTCGACGGCCTCCAGTTTCCAGACCATCTACGTCCTCATCTCTGACAACCTTACGGACGTTCCCACATTCTTTGAAAAAGGTTACAACGTCATCATCTTCCAGCTCACAAGGCAGGTTGCTGACCGTAGCAACAGTACAGGAGGGCACCGCCTCCGACAAATTACGAAATAGGCCTTTGATAAAGAGACCCCTTGTAAAGACTTTTTCTTTGATAGAATCTGCACCAGGCTTAAAAGAAATCATGTAACTAAATCCGTTACCTGAGGCCTGAACACATTTAACGTATTTAGTAAAACCAGGGACAACGGCCGTCTTGAGCGACGGGACGACATCAGGCCTTTTGATGTCCAGAGTTTTGCGATACGAATCCGGGATCGTAAGTTCCAGAGTATCCTTTCGTTGAACTTGATACATAGTTATTGGAAGATCCACAAAAATGAAAAATTACAAACATTAACAAGGTGGGTTCTCACCAGACCAGACGCAAAAGCAAAAAGGAAATAAGCACTTGTTGTTTAATACTTTAACAACAACAATTACTTTAAACTGAGGTATTGCACATAGAAGACCACAAAACAAATGCAATAACAATTTATCAATGGGCGACCCACAAGGACGCCAAAAAAAAGGAAAAACAAAAGGAAAAAGGTCACCGCGGTCAAGCCCGGGACACGAGGTTCACAAAACGGATGGGCGAGTTAAAAAACGCCCGCTAAAAGGATGGCTGACCGAAAGGGACACCCAGAAGACAAAACAAGTCGAGCCCGGAGTGCAACACTCCGAGCTGGATGGACGACACAAATGTGCGCCCACCGAGACAAATGAAAACTCAAGCGCGGAGGGCTAAATCGCCAACGGCCAAGAGGAGTTTACTGTTTCATGTTGTAATCACTGTATATTTACAGTCATATATATGAGAAGGGACAGCACAAAAGGAGGCTTAAGAATTAAGTCCCTTTTGATGCAGCGAGTGAATTAATTGCGTCTTTTGGAAGACTGCATTTTGCAGCTAGACACAAGACCCCTTTTGTGATGTTCCCTCTCATATATATATTGAACATGATAATTATTAAATAAAATATTCTCTGCTCATTATTAGATACCTTGTTGCCTAATATCATCATGACTGTCTGTGTGATCATCAGCAGTGTTTTCTACAGCGAACATAACAAAACAATATTTAAATGGTTCATTTCTTAACAAAAACATGTACAATAAGGAGAAAAGACAGAGGACAGACATTATATGGCTCATTTCAATAAGGAAACAGTAGATTTAATTATACTGTGTGCGGGATTTCACGACAATTGCCTTCTATACTACCATAGTTGAGCACGCAAATACACTTTGTTCCCCTCTTTTATTCTCTTAGTGATTTGGTCAACTAGATACAAATGTAATATTGTGTTATTGAACAATTTACAATTTACAAATTACAGACTTGTAATCAATTGTACAGGATAGGCATTACAAAGAATCACTTAATACGATTGAGAGGAAAATTACAATGCTGAAGACTTACCAACGTTGGCGGGTCAAGTAAGACAATTTAAGTAATTAATCCCAAACGAAGTCGCTATTTCGATTTAAGTCCTAACTCACACACAAGTGATACACTATACGCGATTACCCTAGGACG